CATTTTTTCCTGCTAAAAATGATTTATAATCTAATAAATAAACCTTTCACATCAGAAGAAAGCAGTATGGTATAGTCAATAAAATTCAGCAAGAAGGTCAATGATCTGGGACAGCGTTTCCCAATTTATTTTAGCCATGGAACCCTTTCATAAAATTTAAAACTTTGCGGAACCCCAGTAGTATTTTGACATAATATTTGACAAAAATTATTTAAGACTACGTAATTTTTTTTACGTGGTGAAATTAATTTTTATCTTCTTATTTTTTTCTGGCGGAACCCTTGGTTTCACTTCACGGAACCCCAGAGTTCCATGAAACCTCATTTGGAAACGCTGATCTAGGACATCAAAACAAATGACCCCGAGCCTAGTGTAAAAGTGACCTTAAATAAAGATATATTTTTATTTTCATCGTTTAAAAATAATATACAGAAGAAAAAACACTAAATGACTTGACTTCTTGTATATCAAAACGTTTGGACATTAGCCAAATGTGACCTTGAGATGTGAAAACGTGTGTCTTTCACAATGTAAAGTAATCATATTAAAGATTTGAATCATCAAGTGTTGATATGCACTACTATGCATCATAGATTCAGATGTTGAGTTTAATGAGTTGGAATACATATAATGTATTTAGGGACTGACTTTGTTGGCACCATTATTAAATTGTTGTACTTTACGTTCATCTTGGTTTCATGCTAGTAGATATGGGTTAAAAGGGTATGTATGTATTCACGTGTCAAATATGTTAGCGATGATGAAAGATATTAGATACTGGAAAACAAAAGAAAAGAGAATAACCAAAAAAAAGAAGAATTACAATAGTATTTTCAATAGACTGAATAATTGGAAATAGTATACAATTTTTTGCTTGATGTTCATTTATTTTTTAATATAATGTCCGTATAGTAGTAGTTTGTCTCACTTGTACAATAAAAGTAAAAATGAATTTTTTTCAAAATTCAAAATGAGATCAGAGTCATAAGATGATGAATGTCATATGGGAGACACTTTTGAATTATTTTTAAATGTTAGTAGTGTTCTTGAAGTTTATAAAATTCCTGACGCTTAATCATTTTGTAAATATCAGAGTGATAACCGTCAAGTTTATCAAATTTTATCAAATTTTATCAAACTGCACTAAAAGCTCGCAATCTTTTGAGATTATATCCAAATAATCTGTCAAAATTTTATATACAGGAAATTTATTGATAAGCATTATTATATAATTGATAAATTGAGATTTTACTTTTTATAGTACAGTTTTGAGAAGACAGTCAGCAAAGAGTTTTTGATCGCGAAATAAGCATAGTTTGCCATTCTCTATTTTAAATAGCTATTTCTTAGAAATCTATATGTGTTTTTTAATGAACTGTACAATAATCTATAATTAATCATTGAAGACGCATGTTTGAAGAAGGTCAAAGAATATTTTCTTTTGAATAACTGGAAAAACAAAAGATTTTTATTTTACTTTATAAAATAATATTTGCCATTTCGTTTCATCTCATATTCATAGTATTTTCATTTTCTATTTAATTTTCTTCATTGCTACATAATAGATATTTGACATATTTTCTCTATTTATCGTTTCATGTTACCATCCCCTAGTCTTACAGAGACGACGAATCGAACAGTGATTATATTACACTTTAGATGGTTTTAATGTACTAGATGGGATGAGTGAAAGAAGAAAACGAAGACGATTCCACAGCACTCTCTCTCTCTCTCTTTGTCTTTCTCTCATTATTGAAACGGCGATTTTTTATAAAGTATATAACGATGATCATTAAAAAAAATCATGAAAAAAATAAAAATGTTCCTTAACGGCGTAAAGAACATTTGAAATCTAGAACGTATTACTGATGTTGTTTAACTAACAAATAGAATTCTCATCAATCTACTATTATTATAGAAGACAAAAAAAGTAACGGGAATAAGAAAATATGGAAAAATATCTTCTCTATTAACACACAAAAGAACAAAAAACTAAAGAAAAGAACGTACCATCTTGTGATAGATGTCCATCTATTATGATTTTTATAGATGATAACGTAATACACAGCGAAAAAAAAAACGATCACATAAGCCGCTTCCTCCCTTAGATTTCTTCCCCTTCTTGAAGAGAGAAAACGGAACTAAAACTTCACGTAATAAATAGAATAGACGCCTTTGATACAACAAACGAGGGAGAGTATCAAACGATGTATAAATAGTATACTGTAGAATAGAATAAAAGCGCAGGAAATTTAACAACAATAGAAAGATCGCCTCTTCTGCCCTTATGTGCAACAAATAGTTAAATTTCGTGTGTATGTGTCCTTGTTACTGTCTAATCATATGGTCATAATAGAGTAAAAATCACTTGTCATAAAGAGAAAAAAAAAGAAAGAAAGAAAGAACTTCTTTTTGTTCTATTATTGTTATTTTAGAATTGTATATAAATTTCCCAAAAAGATGTTTTCTTCTCATTTTTTTGTTTCGTTTGTCATCATACACACACAAAGAATGAAAAAATACTCAAGAAAATTGATAAACGGTGATGGTAATCGACAAATAGAGAGGAAGAACAATTTCTTTTTATTTCACCCTAAAGTATGTATATTTTTGGAATTATTGAATGGAAGAATCGATACAAAAAAGAAATTGCATAACGAAGGTATGTTCAACCAGCTTTGATTAAGCAATGTTTTATCCACTGGATACATATAATCTTTGTATACTTCAAGATAAAAGAAATAATTGACATCCTTGATCGCTTCTGAATCATTTCATATGTTCATTTTTACACAGTTATGAATTTCCCATTAGAAAGATCAATTCAGATGGTATAAAAAAACTGTTATTTCAAATAAAGTATTCATAACTGTTCAAGAATGAATTTGTTAGCCCTAATAATTTGTGCACGTAGGTAATTTGATATTCTATACAAACAGGAACTGATTTTGAAATAAATATTTTAAGATTCTCAAAGAACAGTTCTGAAAATGTCTGACATCCGCAATCATAATCAGCATCATAAGTCACAAACGAAAAACTGTTTTTCTTTTAGTCAAAAAGTAATGTGTGGAGGTTCTTTCTTGAATAGTTAAGTTACTAGTATAATGGTTCAAACGAATGTCAGGCAGACCACTGTGACTGTTTGATAAGAGATTAGAATAAAATCGAGTCTTCTAAATTGAGATCACTTTTTTAATAAAATGTGGTCTCATTTTTGGAAGTCTTAATTGACATCAGAGGGCGGGAGCAAAGCAAAATGAGAGTGAGTGCAAAAAATAGTAGTCTCAAGTCAAAAGTAGCCAATAAAATTCATGATCATGTTTTTGTTATTATTATGAATGATCGACCGAATTTATCGTTTTTTGATCTTTTTTGTCTTCAAACATTATGAAAGAGTGTGTGTGTGTGTGTGTCATACTTCTTTTTGATTTCATGCTGTTTTATTCGAATCTACTGTTATTATCACATTTAAATTACTGTAAATAACATTCTTTAGAAATAGAATGATGCTTATATGTTTCTCTTTGTGTCGCCCATACCATGTCTACGTACACTTTCTAAATGTAGGTAATACATAGTCTCGACTGTTTGAAACTTATATATTCATCATTTAAAATGAGATTCTTCTCTTTTGAATTATCTCACATGTATAAGAGAACACGGCAATATTATTTTTTTTTTTGTTAATCAAGTCATTTGTATTATGCCACAACATGGGGAACAATTTTTCTATTAATACGTGCCTGTTCATAACACTCGACAAGATGACATTGAGTGTAAATGAGCAATTGTTCTACATTCAACGAAGAACATTCTACCACAAATAGGAAAAGAAAAGAAGAAAGACGAGTTTAGATAAGAATTACTTGAGTATAAAATACAGTTGATCGAGCACGCGGAAGTTAAATATACAAAACAGGTAAAATTATAACAATACCATTTTATCAAGGTCTGTCTACCATTTTTGTCCTTAGTCTAATAAAATATGAAAGAGCATAATTGTGTTCGTCAAAGAAATGTTAAACTTAAGATTTGTCGAACAATTCGAAGAAAGTTTTGACTATTTACAGAATTTTGATACAAGATGTAACTAGTAGTTAACATGAACGTCTCAGATATGAAGTCTAACTAACGTGTAAAAATCAACGTTTTTTTTTCTTCTGTGTACTATTGATATTAGACATATGAACTACTGATTTAATATATGAAAACATATATTTTTCTCTTTTTTTGTTAATGACGAAATCTCGATTTTGTCACTATTGTTGTTGTATAGACATGCACATTTTGTCTTTTTTTATCGACCTGAAAATTTATTAGTTTTTCGTTTAACAAAAAGCCTTTAGAGAAATAGTAGAAAAATGCTACGCTACAGAGATAAATCTATCATGATTATTAATGAATTATACATTTCTAATATCAGAGAACAATATCTTTATCTATGTAGAAAAAAATCCCATTGAACGATGATAACGAGGTCATATGATCAGAATAGACACAATTTGTAACAATTCTAACAATTCTAATACAGTATATACATATATTGATGAAAAAAGGATCAGTATCATTAAATTAAATAATATACGTTTTTATCATACGGTGTGTGATATGCATATTTCTTGATCAATTTTTACCACTTTAGTTTTATACTAGAATATGTCAAGTGCCATAAATTCGTTTTGATAATTTAATGTTGTTTATGATGTTTCAATATCATTAATAAAAGATGAATGACATGTTTAGCAATTAGTGATCATTCTTTACGTCTTGTTCTCATACAACAGTAAAAAAAATAGTGTAATATTAAATGACACTAAATGTTTTTGTTCTATGTTTTACTAAGAAAGTAATTTTCAGTCGAGTAAGGTCATTTCTTTCAACTATTCGCTGAAACTCATATCAAGCCTGTTTCAGTAGTTATTATAAAATTGTATTGTTGTCTGTTTTAGAAATTTAATGCTGAGTAAACTTTGTTAATAAACAAACGAGAACAAAGCATGGACGTATTGGAACTTCCTCGTCCCGTAATTAATTTTCTTCGTACAATGGCTAAAGAAAGTTGTCGTTATGTCTTATCATGGGATATATTTGGTGGTCCTGATAGTGTTACTCTAACTCTAACATGGAAATTAATTCCGGATGAACAACCTTTAACCGTTGAAGAATTAAAAATGCTTTCAACACCGGCACAACCATCTCCCACGAGTCAAACAGTGACACAATCCTTGTTTAACCCCACAACAACATCTCGAACACCATCTACTCGTCCGTTGCAATCGCCGCATATCATTGGCGATAGTACTCATATGTTTGATAGATATGTGAGTGATGACCAGCCTGTTTACTCCATGTCTCCACACAGGACTAAAAAAATAATAGGTGGTAACGAACAGCAACAACAACAAATAAAACGATCATCATCTCCTACTTACGGATTTTTGTCAAAAAATTCATCATCAAGACGTTCAAGAAAAGATGAATTACTTCCAACTACCACAACGAACGCTATACGAACAGTAAATGCTTGTATAAGCACAGACACTGCAACTAATAATAATAATAATAATAATAATAATAATAATCGTCCGATATTCCGTGCATTACGAGGGAAAAGTCTTGAAACGGTACCACAGAGACAGAAACATAATATAGTAAATGATTTAGGAATCGAAGCTGATATTGAAAAAACAATCATTCCCAGTCCAACGTCTCGCACATATCCAAAAATTGTTCCATATGAAACAGTCACATCGCGAAGTTTAGAACGGAATACGAGCACGTTTAAAGATAATAATAATAGTAAAGAACGTGAAATACCTATCGATCGAATTAATCGACGAAAACACAATGAATTGGCAACAAAATTACAATTGTACAATAATACTGAACAACTCCAACGAACGAATCTGAATAAGACAAACTCAGCCGTTGTCAAATGTGCAACAATTTCATCGCTTTCTAGTTCGTCATCTTCACCACCAACCGAAACCGTTGTAACTCTTCCTCCTCCACCGCCAGCTAGTTTAGCCTATAGAAATCGAAAACCAAATTCTCACAATCATTCATCATCCATCTCATCTATGACGCCAATTACAGCACCAGTAGCTATGGGCACAAGTTCACTACTTGATTCACCTCGTACAAAATGTACAAATTATCAAAACTATAGTTCAACGGTCGTCTCACGTACAACACCATCGGAAAATATTCTTTATGGATCGGTGCATCAGCAAAACAAAACACCACTTACAGATAGTACGGAAACAATTGATCCATGGGTAAAACGTTTTGAATGTTCATTAGAAGAAGAGATAACTGATGACAGAGGGATAGAGGGAGAGAGTATTGAAAATAGTGATAAATATGGAACAGTTAATAGTAAAGTGAAATTTAAAAATAAGCCAGATTACATTTAGAGCGGGCAGATACGAGGAAAAAATTAAATTTGAAAAGAGCTCGGACGAATAAAAAATGTTCCTTCATGTACTTCTTCAAATTCTCTACGGTTAGATTATCCGAGCCACGTATTAACACAGGTCACTTACAAAACTTTCTGTTGAGTTTTTCATTTCGTACTGTTATTCTATGTTTTCTGTAGAAGAATAAAGCTGGTTCTTTGTTTTTCATTTTTGAAATGCAGGCATTTTATTTGTTCTCTATCCGATGGTGTTTTTTAGTGTGTTTGTATTTATGGGTTATTTTTAGTTTCTCAGAGAATAATTTAGTTGTTTTTTTCCTTTTACTTTTAATTCAACAAAAAACGAATGTGAATTATGAAGATCTATATATTCTGTTCGTAAAATTCTGTAAATTATTCATGCAAAGTTTAAGATTAAGTACTGAACGCGTGAGATTTTGCATCAAACATAGGTAGACAATAATGTCACATTCTCGTCATAACATGAATATCGCACGGTGTAGTGGATTTTGAGCATTTTTCCAGTGAAACTGATATGATCACGTGAAGGTTTAGTTGGGATTTGTGAACTATTAGGAGCAAATAACGTCCATGTTATGTTAATGATGTGACATTATTGTCTATCCATCCACAGCTTACTCAAATTCTGATATGTTCAACACTTAGCCTTAAAAATTTCGAAGTAACGGGAACCACATCTTGAAAGTTTCAGGTCAAAAGAAAAGTGAGTCATATATTTATTTATTTGGAGACCAACTAATATCAACTACTAAGAATGACCATCGCTCATACTAGAAAGAGTCAATACTTGAAACTTACATCCTTGACGGCTGACTTCAACGTTACATTTCGATGAACGAAAATTTGATTCTTCGATGAATCAGACGTTATTCGTATTTTAGCTGAAAAATGAAATATCTTAGTAATCACGCATATAAATGATTTGAAATACCTTGAATGATGCTTTTCTTTTTACATGTAGTGGTCGAGTGTTAACCGCATATACTTTTCTTCTGTATTTTCGCACGTGCTCATGGGCGTCGTAATAAACGCAAAATGCAAATTCCTTGAATAATAAGCCTACAATCATATGATATTTCAAGTTGTGATTGTTTGAGCCACAAAGAGTGTATATACTTTATTAAACAATGTAACAGACACGTCACTACAATATTGAGGTTAAAACCACAAATCTTACATCTTCATTCGGAGAATAAGTTCATACAGATTGGATCACGCTGAACATTTTCTCATTTTACCCTACTTTTTGAATTTTCTATATATTTCTGTATCAGACAGTACTGGTGACATTTCTGATATACAAACTACCAGACTACTGTAAAATCTTTTAAGATCGATCATCGGTTAAAAATTAAACAAATGTTTATCAACTTTCTCTTATTTTGAGCTACTCTAGACATGTCTTAGCGTACTTTTACTATTTTTTCTTTTTTTTCAAATATTTTTTGCCAAGAATCAGATTACTAGCTTCTGCCATGAATAGTTAAAACTCAATTATTACTACCATTAATTGACTTTAAAAATTTCTATAAGTGTTGATTTTGAATATTTACATATAGGAAGAAGGCAAGCAAACGATTGAGATTCAATTGAAGTATAGACACGTATCGTCATCATTATGATTCATTTTCACTTTTTATTTTTATGATGATGATGTAATAGTAACAGTATAAAAGTCAGTTTATTGGCATACAGGAACTCGGCTTGCAAGATGAGAGAGAAAGACATTATGTTCTCTATACATACTACAAATAATGATTTCGATTTAGCGGCAGCTGACACGATAACATTTATTTGTCTGGCACTAGATATCTTAATGAAAAGGGAAAAAAAAAGAGCAAAATTTGAGATCTTGTTTGTTGGAAAAAAAAACTATGATCTCATCCGTTTCCGGATGTTTTTTTGAAAGAAATCAAAGCTATACAAACGATACTTGCTGTAAGAAAAAACTATGCAAACTTTGATAATTACGAACATACACACACACACGTCGTTTGATTACGTGTCAAATAATAATTACAATTTTTCAGACAAAGAAAGATGACACAAATTGATAAGACGATATCTTTTTTTCTTCTTTTGTTCAACAATGATACAATAAAGCTTTCTTTCTATTTTATAATTGGAAATAGAGGCAGTCGTCGTGAAATAACAGAAAATCAGCGTTACATTTTCTGTCAATGATGTAGAAAGTACACGAATGTATATATGTTATATACTCATATTGTAAAATAAATAAAATTATGTGTGTGCTCTTGAATAAGACAGCTGGAGTCATCTAATGTCTAATAAGACTTTGTGACTACAAAAATTGTTGAGATTTAATGATCTATCGTTACTAATTTTAAGTTAATTAATATAATGAGTCGATTTGTAAATAAATTCTAATTAAGTTTTTAGTAAATGTATTGAAATAATAAATTATAAGGCTTCAATCAAATTAAAACTAACTCTCAAAAGAAACTTGCCTAAAGAAATCCGTAATTCATACAACCATCATATTTAAGAATAATTACAGCAGATAAAATATCTATTATACTAACTATGCTGATTATTTAGCTTTTTTATAATGTATTTCTATTGTATTTCGTTTATTTATTGAGGAACATACACAACAAAATTATAACAAGAACTGGTTTAAGTTATTTTATTGGAAGAGAAAGTCAACAATCGAAACGAGTTGTATCCATGTGTTGGAGAGAAGCGCGGAATAAGTAGATAGAAATAAATCAATAAAAGAAAAAAAGGAAAAACGAACAGACAGTAGTTAAACACTAGTGTGAACTTAACATTGGTGTTAAATATGTGTGGCTGAACGGAACACTGTATGCGTGAAATTTGAAACAATATATGGACTTACATTAACCATGCCCTAAATTGACTTTATATTTCTTTCACCTGTATTTTTCACCCTAGTTCAGATATGTTTTCAGAAAGAGTCATCAAATACGTTTTAAAAATAGGAAATGAGAGTTTTTGTTATAATTAAAAATAATTTCAAACAAGAAAAATTGTCTATAGTCATAACTTACAAAAGAACATGACTAATATGACAAACAGCGACGTAGTGAGGTCGTGAATAACACATAAAAGAAATATGTCATATCCCTAGAGAAAGTACTGAGTTCAAGGTACCCATGTACTGAGAAAGCCTCAGCAAGGTACCCGATATGGGTACTTCGAAAATTCTTAGTAATTATACTAATGTAGGTACTGCATTGGGTACCCATAGCAGTATGTTTACTGAACAAGTACTTGTATGGGTACCAGCATCTGTAATTTTACTGAGGAAAGCTCTATAGGGTATCCTAGATTTGTCGCGTTCTGTGTAGCGACTGTTCATTCACCGTTTTTCTTTTGCATACACGGCTCTATATAAACAACTCCACAAAACATAAGAAAATAATATATTTTCATACTAATTTTCTCTAGATTATTTCTTGACTATTTATTAGTCGAGAACATGCCGATCTCGATCGTAAATTGAGAGAGGACTACCCTGAAGTGATCTGATGGAGATTCGACCAACTCAAGTCCGGTCAGATCGAGAAATTTGACCTGCTTGAGTTTTCAGAATTAGAAAAATTAAATGAAATAAAATCCAAAAAATGTCATAAATTCCTTTGAGAAAAACAAAAATGAAAAAAAGTCAAATATTAGGTTCGATCATCAACATACTGCAATTTTGGCAACAGGGTACCCGCCCGAGTACCTTATACATACCTAAAAGTACTTTAAGGTACTTCAGTACCTGAAAGTTCCTGTGACATGCTAGTAGAAGAGTACTTTTTCAGGTACCCTTGGCTCAGTACATTCACTAGGACAGTACATTCACTAGGGATGTTTCAAACCTATCTGATTAACAACAGGTACGAGTATACACTCATCTAGTTTTAAGCTGATTAAAATTGTGTTCTACTTGGATATAGGTGCTGCATTGACCGATTAATCCAACACTTCGCTTCCTAATTAACTGACATTAATAACTGTATTTTTAATCTAGATGCAAACTCCATAAGTGTTTTCCGTGCATAGGGCGATTAGATCTTAAAACTAAATAATCGACTAGAAACTACTATCGTCTCGTTGGAAACTTCGCGTTACGGAATTGAGCGATTTTCTAAGACTTTTTTAAAATAAAATGAGGCAGTAACTCCGATTTACTATTACAATTGAGTTTAGATGGTTTTTGCACAAATGATGAAAGACGAACGTGGCGCTTTGTGCGAATTTCAAAGAAATGTAACCTGTCACGTTCTCTCAAGGAAAAAACGAGAAAAAGTAAACGGAGTGCTCATGACAAAGCATAATTTTTGTATAAGAAACCAAACTATTAGTTTAGCACTTTATTTGTTCATAGATGATCGGAACAAACACTTTTATCATCACTCATTTAAATAATTATACTTCGCAGAGAGATAACATATAGTAGATAAACAATTTTAGTAGAGCATAAGCAATACTGTGAATTTCATTATAACTTTTATTAGAAAAGAAGTAGAGTCGATCAAATATTTTCAAAACGTAAGGGCATTGTATATTCTATCTATCAGTTATCGAGAGAAATAAAATAAAAAATATTTTTTGCAATAAAACAAAAACAGATATCAGTTTTTTTCCCATCTCTTCAAACATACTTAAAATGAAACGTGTAATTAGAGAATCTGTATGTATTTGTGTATGTACAATAACCGAGAGTAGAAGATATTGAATATGACAAAAGTATCGAGTTGTGTGAGAGAAATAGAGAGAGAGAGAGATAGAGAATTGCATCATATAGTTAACGACACTTCAATCATGATTCATATTCATCTTCTCTCTCTAAACTACACCTTTTCTCTTATTTTTTCTTTTAAATTAACAAAAAAATACTCACTTTTTTTTTTTGTTGTAGTAAGAATAAAAAAATCTCGAAATCAAACTTTAAACAAGGCTAAAGGAAATGAAGTTGCGATCAACGAAAAAGATTTACCGGACATTTTGCGAAACGAAAATCTATTATTATCTTACACAAAAAAAGAGTATACAATGTGCATCCAATATTTTACTGTATCATTCTATATTTTTTCGTCAGATGGCTAACAATCTGCTCTACTATTGAACGAAGTAAGTATACCCGTAGATGATCATAGCATAGGAAAGTTTAGTACCGCGTAGCAGCCAACTATTTATTAAGAAAAAAAAGTTGCATTTTAATTCCAGTTTAAAAATAGAAGGACTGTAAAATTATCTGCTTTCTGAGATGATGAAAGTCCTATGTTATTAGCACTAGTAAAAATATACCATGTCTTTTGTTTTAACTCAAATGTGTATGTGGTATTTGTGGCGAATGTGGAATGGTGGATATATAGGTTTAATTTGACTTTCATAGGTCAATGAGAAGAGAAGAGACAATTTAAAATATATCTAGATGTGAGAGAGGATATGATGTTAAAAGATGTAAAATTTGCTCTTTTTCTTAAATATACGATACAAATAAAGCAAAAAAAAAGAGAGAGAAAATTAGTATAGTACGAGACTAAATGAAATTAACATCATTGCCATTATCACTAAGATGAGTGAAGAAGAGAAGAATATTAATATAGACAAACTGTACATGTTCATTGATGTATTTATGCACATATAAACATCAATGAGGGAAATAAAAGATAGGGGTATGTGATATTGTGAGACGTTCATATAGCTTTTATTATTGCTGCTTGATCTCGTCTATATATCATTGATTTTTTATTATGTTATAGAAAATACAAGAATAATTTTTCATGTCACATATAAATGCAAATACTTATAATGTGAAAAGAAAATTATGAGTATCAAACAACAACATCATCAACAATATTTTTTTTTGCTTCTCTCTTAAAAATAAATGAGAAGAACAAACGATAGATACTCATTGATTTAAAATGATTAGCAATTATTATAAAAATTACACAAAAAACTTTTTAACTTCTTCTATTAAAGTGAAATATACATAAACAACAACCAAAAGGTTTTGGCTTGTTTTTTTTGTACATAGGCGAACAAACGAAGAAAAAATAAATATTAAAATAATATTTAGTAAATCACTTATTTTGTCGTCGTACAATCAGTAACAATAAATGTAAGAAAAATGAATATTCTTCAAACGGATACCATATTCGATATGTCGTCGTCATTAAAGTAGATAAAGATCGAATCTCTTTACTACCATTACTATACATATACATATATATCATATACATAGCGTCAAATAGTTTACGGTATTCTATATACTCCCGGCAAAAGTAAAAAGAACTACTAAAATTTCATTTTAGTTCATTTATTCAACTACACTGATCATTTTCTCGTCTTTGTTAATTAATTTATATAAATTTGATATGAATAGAGAGAGAAAAAAAACGGAGATGATGCGTGCATGATTTTAACTAATCATAATAAGAATATCCAAGGATCATTGACATATACGTACAACACTTAGCAAAAAAAGAAGAAAAGAGAGGAAAGGAAAGAGAGACAAATTAACAGGGAAAAGAAGAAAAGATTTTACACACTCCATATAGACAGAGATATACCCATGTTCTTTGTATTTCGATATCAATAAAATATGGAACATATGATAAAGAAAACGAATGGTGCTGGGTCTCATAATAAAATAACAATTAAATCTATATATAATGGTAATGATGATGAACATTCTTATAATACTACTCGATGTAATCAAAATGAAATTTACTGTTCATTACATTCGTCACCACTAAAAACGATAACGACGAAAACCAAAACAGTGGCAACAGTATTAAAAACATTAAACAATCACCAAAATAATAATAATAATAATAATAATAATAATAATAATAGTAATAGTAGTAGTATGAATGGATGTCATCATTTAGCGAATAATGAACCCGCATATAAACTTCGAGAAAAAACAAAAAGTAGAAGTCAAAATTCAAAATCAAGTGACTATAATCGTCAATTAAAAGCAATATCAACTATGTACGTTTCAAATAGAACTATATCGAATAAAAAAGCTTCAACAAGTAATTATCATCTATTTAACTGTAACGTTAATGAAAAAATTAATAACACGAACAATAAAAATGACAGACGAACAATTTGCATCTGTGAACAACAACAACAGCCAGAGACTACACCCGTTCGAGATCGTCAATTATCTCAAATATCACCGCAACATTTAATTGTATCTCCAACAAGTGCTGCGATGTTACCACGATCAAAATTAAATTTATCGTGGACACAACGATGGACAAAATGGTTTTCAGCGTGTGGTACAGACAAAGAAAATCTACCATCAAACACTATTAATAATCCCATAGTGAAAATATCACCAACAATAATTGCAGGGGTAAGTGAAGTTTGAATTTCTCCTGAAAATAAGAAATTTTCTTAGAATAATAAGTCAACAAATATTAAAAAAAAGAATTATACGACACACTTTAGTGTGTCGATTATCAAAACATTAAGGTAGTTAAGAGGATATTGTCTACTAAAATGTGTGTGAAATAATGTTGTTTTCTCTTGTGGTAACAATGACAGATCGGTTTATCCATTGACAAGTCGGGTATGAGTCTTTTACCTCTCTTATTATGTGATAAATGAAATAGAATGTAAGAGAAATTCACTAGCCTTCTTGGTAGCAGGTCGAGTATGGAAGATTTTTCTAGAGTTCTTGAACGACAGTTATGTTCATCTGATACATTGGACAAACGAAGAGCATTCAGTATCTACAGAGCAGAAGTAGCATTTTTCTCTCTTCATTTTTGACTATATAGCTGAGTTGTTGATATTTCATACAAATAGATCTAATGTACATATGTCTGAGTCGAATGTAATAAATTCTTATATTAAAATGAGTAATGTTCAACTTTGTTTGATTCTATCTTCTACCATATAGAACATAAAAACATTCGATAGACCTCAAACCCCAAAAAATCATAAAATATTTATTAATTTATTTATTGTTGTTATAATGTCTTTTACCGGGCATTTCCATGTTAACATCGATGAACAATGTTTACTTTTTATATGTTAGAACAAGCGTGTGTTCAATTGGAATAATTATTTACATGTTTATACATTGAATAATAACTAATGTATATATATATTTTTCTTTCATATTTAATATTTGCCTTGAACTTTATGTACATTTATGTATCGCGCGTTATTAGAGCATAAAAAGAAAAATATAACTCTAACAGCAATCACTTACGACAATTGAACATACACAATAAAGCGTTATGTTCACAATAGAAAATTGAACTGATTAAAATGATGATAGCAACACCTGCTCGTAACCATTTTTTGTTTGTTTTATTGAACAGATTAGCTTCATCTTCTTTTCTTTTTCTTGTCCTTGTTACTAGAATAGGTATCGGAAGGGAAAAACAAAGTCTCTCAATAGACCATATATCAAAAAACAAAAATAGTGACGATGGAATGTGATTGACATGAGAAGACGTTCTCAAATGATGATCAATCTTTTAATGGATAAAAGTAGATAAAATAAAAGTACAGATGACTATGTCTATACGAAGATAATTTAACGTTTGATTGTTAACAAATGATGAAATAAGATGGTCAGTTGAAAAGATGAAATAAATTGATTAAAAAGAAAAATATATCCGAATACCACTGAAAAAAAAGTAGTGACTATCAATTCTTATGAGTGCCTTATAAAAATGATTTTTCTTCAGTAAACTTCTTATTAAAAAGAAAAACAATTCACATCTGTAGATAAATGGAAACTTGGTGAAAAAGCTCTATGAATACATGTTGATAGAGATTATATACTATCAGCACCTTTCGACTCTTATTTTATGGAGCATGTAGCACATAAAGTATTCATATGTACAGTAAAGAATCGAATGTTATTGTTACACAATATTGTTAATCTATTAATCTCTCTTTAGATCATAATTATTCCTCTACACCCTAATCAAACATGCTTTGTTAGAGGATTTATTATGTTTTTTTACTATACAATGATTTATTGGAACAGAAATTGTACATTCTTACATTTATCGGACTAAATATACATATACACAACTAAATCAAGGACTGACACGAGTAGAAATTTGATTCCAATAATTAGTTTTTATTTGAGAATAAAGTGCACTTATAGGAAAGAGACATTTGAAAAAAATTCTTTAACCGTTTAGTATACATGAATAGAAATAAAGAAGAAATTGATATGAACAATAATCGCTTTGTACATGGTTTAGACTAAGAGTTCAATTTAGTTTGAACAGTTCACTAACTTGACAAAAAAAAGTATTTTCTCGGAAATAAAAATTATTATCTGTTCCTTTAGCTCATTTCCATTTGTCTTGTATATGTGAAAATGTCAACTAGTAGGTAATGTAGTAAGAAATACAAAACTGCTACAAACATGATTAATACAAATCACAGTGCTGTTATTTTGATTTATTATTGTTCGACGATGTTCACTCGGCATCGTCGAAATATCAATAATAAATCAAAATAACAGCACTGTGATTTGTATTAATCATGTTTGTAGCAGTTTTGTATTTCTTACTACGTTTTTTCAATATTACTGTTGTACCAAAATATTTTAGTAGGTAATGGACAGTGTCCACCTTATAGTTTTGTCCTAAACATCATCTTGACATTTCTATGAAATTTTATGACAGTTTTTGTGTTTTTAGAACAGTTCAAGATGAGTTTTGTGTTATACTAAAAACTATAAATAAGTCGTCTGAAAGATATTAACACATTCTAGACTAGTAAATAGAGTAATAATCGATTTGGAAGAGTGTTTAATACCCATATGACAGATAAATGAAAATATTCTCGCATATTTTGACACTTTCTTCATAATATTGTAAACAAGATTATCTTGTTTGATATTTGAATGGTGTTACTTTATGTTGCTATACGACATTGACTCAATAACTTATTCGATAATATGATCTAATATCTTGTTGTCGTATTATTATCATTTTCATTACTATCATGACATACACATATTTATATGCATGTCATCTATTTTATTTTTATTATATTTATTGCGTTTGAAGATGTGGAGCTTGTTCACTCATGTTATAGTGTATATTCATTCATTAACACACGCGCTTCTTTGTAAGCAAGAGATTGGAGGCGGTATCCATTGATGACAATGAGGATGATTTTAGATATTTTTTGTCATTTTGAATGAACATAATAATAGGTTATAATTTTTTTTGTTTTTGAACGAATATTTTTGACCGACTCGATGATGACGCTAATAATAGGATTATAATGAGATAATGATTAGCTACACGAACTACACAAATAGAAACTTTACATCAATGACACATATAGGAATGTTAGGCTGCCATTTAAATGAAAGATGGTTTTGAATCAATGTCATTAATATCTCACTTCTATAGCAAAGTGTTTGAAAATAGAATGCATAAAGTTTGTTGAAAGAAGTTGATTAAGCCTAAAGCTTACAATCATTGACATTTATTCGTTTCTGTAATGTATTAAAAATTGTATAAAATCAGCCTTTTTAATTTTATTAATAGAACTCTTTGTGTAAGAAAAACCATCTGATTTTCGCTTCATTCATTTGGCATGGTCAAAGAGTATTTTAAGATATAGAAAGATTTCTTAATTAAGTATGAAAAATTAAGATTCATGTTCATCAAAATAAGATGATTCTAACATGATTATTGAGAGAAATAAATAACTGAGGGAACATACTATCTATAACGTAATTTTATATACAAGATAGTTTTAGTGACTAAGGCGATTTTAAAGATTCAAAATTCCTCATCATAAACAATCCCAATTGCTTAGTCAAGTGTTAGTGTACCGAATTGCCGCAAGACTCAGCATGGTTGATTATCTATAGTACACCCGTTATCGAAGCTACCATTAGCTGCCGACTACCAGTCCCAGGGCTCTCAGGAAATTCCATGTCTCAGGAAATCTCAAGGTCTCGCTTGACTCCCATTTTGGATACTTTGGACTATTTACTCATGAAAAGAAACAGTATGTTGAGATTTTAAATTTTTCTAGTTATGAAACGGTTTTCCAATGACTCACAAGAAAATCGGTTTTTGGAGAGATTTTTTCAAATCCTTTTTGGTTATGAAGAGATACATTAACGTCTTGACTATCGAACAGTGAAAACCGTTAGTTTTTATCTGTTTTCTTGTCTCGAGTTATTAAAAACTAACTGCCTTTTAATATGAAATGGATAGTAGTTAAAGTAGATTTGTTTCAGTTTTAGAATCGTAGTAATCCTATGTATACTCATCATCATCATCATCGATCGGGCTTCTTAGGCTTTTCAGGCATAAAAGGCTCGGCAATTCGGTACACTAACACTTGACTAAGCAAT